AAGAGAAAAAGTATTCTATATAATTCATATGTCTCATTTCCTAAATAAAGGGCCAGAATTAAATAAACAAGATAAACAGACCTTTCATAACATGTTGCATCAGTTTAAGAACATGTAACAAAAGCTTTGATGTAACTAGTTGGAGAAAATCATTACAGAATTTTAGAATGCACTTCAAACAACTTATTAGTTTACTTCTTTCAACTCAGGTGATATCAAACCACCTATGGCCACTTTGTCTCTTTGGTCATGAAGATGGAAGGTTCTAAGTTCTGTATTTGCAGTTTTGTAAAAATAAAATTCTTAAATTCTTTTCTAAAAAGCTTAAACATTTAAGAGCATATATCAAAAATATGTCCTATTCTCTTAGTAATACTCCTTTCTTCTTGAAAAGCAAATCAATTTTATTTCAGTCTGTACCCAGAGCTTTCATTTTTCAGAAACAATTTCAGAATGCTGGTTCATATGCAGTCTGCAGTCAGATATGACACTGTGAACTTCTCCCATATGTCTGTGTCTAAGTCTGTCTTCCACAAGGTAACAAGCAAACCCGCACAACTTAACACTGGGATGCACTCTGTTTATGTTTAAATTATAACTGCTCTGCAAGATGGCATGTTACATTTAACATATATTGGTGGTAATTCAGAATACACCAATCCACCCAGAGTTATTTTGCTGAGTTTAGCTATGGCATTCACTGAGTAGCTGCAGTGGTAAGGACATGTTGCTGCCAACAGCATACATACACCAAAGAACAGCACAGAAGAGGACAAAAATATATTCACATGTGCGCGTGTGTGCGTATGTGCGCATCCAGTTGACTTTGTACAAAGTTATAAAAGTAATTCAATGGAAAAAGATAATCTTTTCAACAAATAATGTTGGAACCAATGAACACTCATATGCAAAAAAAATTAAGATAACAGCATATTTTACATAAAAATTAAAACAGATTACATACTAAACATGTGCTTCACCAAAGATTAATGAGTGCCAAATAAACACCTAAAAAATTGGTAAAAACCACTAAGCACTGGGGAAAACAAATATAACCTAGTATGTAATACAACTATACTCTTATTACAAGTACTATGAAAAATACTGACAGCACCCAAGTGTTAGCAGGAATGCATAGCAACCAGAATTACCATACATTACTGTGAAAATGCAAAATGGTAAAACTACTCTGGACAATAGCCTTTTCAATTTCTTTTTAAGTAAAATATATACTTACCTGTGAACCAGTGACCCCATTCATAGGTGTTAAACCTAGAGAAATGAAAACTTTTGTTTACACAAAAACCTATTCATCAGTGTCCATAGCAGCTCTCCTCACTCCCAGTCACCCCAAACTGGAAATAATCCAGATCTTTCAGCCAAAGAATGGGCAAGCACAATGATACACCCATATGGTGGAATACAGCTCAGCTATACAAAACAGCACATGACTGATTCTTATACATGCAACAGCCTGGGTAAATTTTCAACAATGTTATGTTCAGCCAAAGAACCAGCAAAAATAGGCTACATATTGTATGGTTTTACTTCTAAAGTATTATTCAGAATTAGAAACCTATAGTGAGCAGTTCTTCTAAGAAATTAGAAGATGAGATGTAGTTATAGTGGGGTAGACTGTTAAGACAGCGTCTAGCGGTGACAGACTGATCTGTACCCTAACTGTGGTAGTTATATGGATCTATATATGCCTCAACACTCATAAAAGCACACTAGCAGGGATATGAGAGTAGAAAATTCAATGTTACTCTATTCTGATTTTAGCTACTACTAATAAAAACAAATGCAGTAAGTATAAAACAAAATATCTTTCACAAGGTACTATAGTAAGAATCTTGGGTGCTTGTTACATTGTATTATAAGTGTACATAGGCAACTCAGGCCTGTTTGCCATCAGCTTAGATTTCTGATGTCTGTTATCTTTAGTATCCTACAGATTATCTGGCATCTAAAGTAAGCACTTAATATGTATTAAAAGATTTTTAATGAGAAAAAAAGCAGGCAAGAAATGTAACCTAATGAAAGATGCCCACAAAATGACAAAATAGTTCCTTAAGAAACACGAGTTTCATACTGTTTTGCTATTGCTAAATAGTAGTTAGCATTTGGAATACTGAGCATATTTGTGCATAATTTATAAAATTTAATATGTGTGTATCATTCAATCTTACAAAACCATTTGATTTTAACTTACAATGTAGAAGACTTGTGGAGAATTATTCTTTTCTTAATTTTGTCCTATTTTTTTAATAAGCCTACTAAATACCTCTGATTAAAATTCATTGATTTATAGGGAGTAATAGCAAAATTAAAATTTCAAGATTCTTTTCATAAAGCAGGAACACAGACACTAGCATACACTGCAATTCATAACAACTAATGCTCTGCACTGTCACTCCCTGCCTGCTCTCTTCCTTCCAAAAGTCATCAAAATACCAGTGAAGGACTTCTTCAAGCCTAGCATAAAGGCACACACTTGCAACACCAGCACTTTGTCAGGCTGAGGCAAGAAGATCACAAGTCTGGACAATTTAGGAACACCTTGTCTCAAAATAAAAAATGTACAAGGAATCTAGCTCAGTGTAAGGACCGTGGGCTTAATCCCTAGTACAGGAGAGGAGAGGAGAGGAGAGGAGAGGAGAGGAGAGGAGAGGAGAGGAGAGGAGAGGGGAGGGGAGGGGAGGGGAGGGGAGGGGAGGGGAGGGGAGGGGAGGGGAGGGGAGAGGAGAGATGAGAGATTACTTCACGTTTTTTTAAAGAGGTTACATTAGCTTCTGGGGCATCGGAAAGAAAAGCCTCTCTGAAAAAAAAGATCATCTACCAAAAACAAAGCAAAACAAAACAAACAGGTGGCTCTGAGCAGAGAATGGCTGACCTGAGAGCCCCCCAACTCCTTGCAAAACAGTCATCTCGGCGCTTGATACTGGGGTATCTGACTCTCACAAAAATGAACACAAGCTAAGCGTGAGATTGCTAGTTATTCCTGAAAACAACAGTGAGAGTGGTTCAAACAAACTAAGTTATTATTACCATGATATAAAAAAACATTACACGTATGTTGTACTTGGGTTTTTCTCCATGTTCCTTGCTCTATTTGATAATGTTCTCCTGATCTTTAAAGTAATACCCAGATTTAATAAATTTTTATTTCATCAATAGTTTATCATCATATAGTTTATAATATCCAATATTTAATATGTGTCACATATAGACATGGAATATTTTCCAATTAATGTTCAACTTTCAAAGTAGCCACAATTTTGTGTCTGCTACACTATGAAAACAAACACAGGAATTTACTTACTACAAAGAAAAATTGAAAAGAAAATTAAATTTACCTTATTATAGTACACATGTGCCTCAAATAAGAAGTGAACATCGCCATTTAAAATAAATGAAAATGTAAAAGCAAAAAACATAAAACAATATCTGACACTGAGCAACAGCCCAGTAAATATTTTTTAATAAATATAATTTTAACAAATGAATAAACAGGTAAGTATCTGTCAGATTACAGAGAAAAGTAAGATTTACAACTGAACTTTAGGAATTACTTTGCCCTATCACTACTGTGTATAGGCAGGTATTTTTTCTTTTTTTTTTGTCTTTTTCCTTTTTATCAGTACCAGGGATTGAACTCATACTGCCTGCTTTCAAGGCAGGCGCCTATGCCGCTGAGCTAAATCCCCAGCCCCGCGTGTACTTTTTTCTATGCATTCATTCTACCAACCATTGTTTGGTTTCAAATAATTTTTTAAACAGGGAAAAGAAATCAAAATTTGATTAAAAATACCAATTATGTCAAATAGTCCATGTCAAGTGTGGGATATACACATTTAAAGCAGTAAATTTAATTAATTAACATCAAATTAAACCTTAAGAATTAAAGAAGATTCATCAGTGGTAAACTCCAGTGAGAGTGCAATTAATTCTGATGGCAAGGATTCAAGAAATAATTCTTTGAAAAGGTAATCATGTAACTGGGCCTTGAGAAATGCATAGGTTACTGGTAGATGGAAGATGAAATGTCATGCACCATTAACAGCACAAATTTTAAAACCAGGCAGCCTGAGTTTGAATCCCAGTTTATGACATAGTAGCTCTGTGACCTTGAGAAAATTACTTTTAACCTGTTTTACATTAATTTCTTCATATAAACAACAGAGAGATGATATTATATATGGCATAGTGGTGTTAATGTATGTAAAGTACTTGCAGCAGCACCTGAAACATAATAAATGATAGGTAAGTGTATTCTAGATGAAGAAAAGATCGGACAAGACAAAAGGAATAGTATCCAAAATTCCTTAAGTATTCATTTGATTTCGCCAGAAGAAAATAATACCCTGGAATGTTAAGTACAAACCACTATATATGAATAAAACACAATTTCCTAACTCAGTGGCAGTTTGAGATCTGTTATGACATGTATGGATTCTCAGCCAGTAAGTATACCCATATCTATACCTTAAAACTCTACATAAAACTTTTGGGATTCATCCACAAATCAAGGATTGTAGGTACTTGCTCCAACCCATCCCTGAGGCACAGGTAATGTAATGGTCTAAAGATATTGTCACCTTTCTAATAAAAGCAACGCTTTGCATGAAATGCTATACAACCACATGCAATCATGGGCTCTAAAGTACTTAACTAAAAAATTAAACTCTAACTCTTAGAAGATGGAGATATGTAGGACATGAAGAACATCATGGTTCCATTTCAGATCAGAAAAGGGAACAAGAAAGCAACAGTGGTTAGGAGGGTTTTTTGGTTTTTTTTTTTTTTTTTTTTTTTTAAAGAGGTAGAAGAATTATGTTTTTTAGCACCTTCATGGCAGTCAAGATTTTAACAAACATCTTAATCCTCAGGGTTTCTTATCTGGGCAGCAGATCTGTGGAAGAAAAGGAAGCCATAGATACCTAACCCTGAGGAGAAGAGGTTGGGGACAAAATGTAAAAATGGAACGGCGCTGTACTCACATGGTGAAGGAGCCAGGGGGAGCAGACACTCGCCGCAGGTCCGCAGCTTGCACCTGATGGATGCTAGAGGCAGCAGGGAAATGAGCAGCGAAGACAGAGTCAGCAGGACAGCGTGGACAGACAAGGAACAGGCCAGGGAGAGAAAGAGAGACACACAAAATTTAAACAGAAATTAAATGAGAGTGTCACAACAGTGAATGAAAGAAAAGGGAAAATCAAGCCAGCCATGGAAATAATCCACAAAAGCCAGTGATACAGTAGCAATGAAGCTGACAGGACACATGGAAGAGGCTGGTTCCAGGCAAGCTATGGACTGCAGTGCAGGGCCAGCACAGGAGGGTAGGCTGTGGACACAGAGAGGTGACCATGGCAGCCCTTCTCTGGGTCATCTGAGACACCTTGAAGAGCAGGTGCACACCCACATCCAACAGTGCCAGTGGACTGGTCAATCCCCCTTGAACACATCAGCTGGTGTAATTCTTTCCACATGACCTCATAATTCGCCAGCTCTGTGAGCACACTAGTATCCAAAAGACAATATTACTTCCAATCAATAATACTTCGCACCCCAGAATGAAGAAATCCAGTTGTCAATTTGAGGTTCGCTAACCAGATACCTGAATTTGGATAAAATGATCATCTTTGACAAAGCAGCCTTAATTATCAGTGACTTTAATGGTAATAGCCGAAGATTTCCTTGCAGAGTACACCAGTAATTTTCAGCTTCGGATGCCCTTCAGAGATATCTTACATAGAGAACATAAGCTAAATGTATCTGGCTTCCCAGTTACTAAAACATGAGTATGAACACAGGTAACACTCCCCTACTGTTTGAGGGGAAGATAGTACTGTAGCTCATACTTTATGTAGGTTCATGTCAAGATAAAATGGTACTCATTCCTACAACCAATGGGAGATACTGAACACAGAGACAGCTTGACTTTTAGTTGGCATGTAGTAACACAAATGGAATTAAGTCAAGAAATTGTTTTTTAGTAAGTTCCTTTTGCACAAATGAAGATCTGGTGGTATCATGAAGACTACTAATTAACTATTTCTCATGGAAAATGCAGCTTCTACACAAATTATAACCTGAAATTATTCAATATTTGCCTTTAACTTGTAATACTATGTAATGAAGGCATTCTATACTATATTTATATTTGTGATATTTTAGGTTTATATTATTTTAATAATAATTTCTGAGAAATGTAGCAGACACAGCCTTATAAATGTGAATCATGTGTGAGTCACTGATTCTACTGACTCAATATATAAGCATGTTACAGGAACTATGAAATGTCCTGGAAATCCTAAGATGAAAACCTTTGGTCCTCCCAACAGATCACAGAAGAGACCCAAGTCAACCAAAGATTACACTCACTATTTTATTTATTTATTTATTTATTTATTTATTTATTTATTTATTGGTACCAAGGATCAAACTCATGTCCTCACACTTGCCAGGCAGGTGCTTAGGCCACTGAGCTAAATCCCCAGCCCCTACACTCACTATTTTAGTAACAGTGTGCTAGAAGCACCCAAAAGCAGCTATGAAGAGCACCAGGAAATGCAGCTAACAGCAAGAAGTAGACAGAAGAGGGTGCTAAAGGAAGGTGCTATTAAGGTAGAGTCCTGAACTGAGAAAGAAAGAGAGACAGAGACAGAGACAAAGTCAGAGACTGAAACAGAAACAGAGGCAGAGGCAGAGGCAGAGAGAGGTAAAGCAGGCACTGAGGTCTCTCCAAGAGGAACAGTCAGGGGTAAAGCACTCTGATGTCAGGGATAGGGACACAATTATGGCTCTAGGGACAAAAATTACTCTGGAGCATAGGAAGAAAGGAGGCAGCAATCAAAAAGTCTGCAAATCCAAGAAAAATAGGATTCCCACTTTTATAAAAAACCATTCTTCCTGGTTTACTGGAAAACACAGATGACAAAATGGGCAACAATGAGAAATGGGCAAAGAAATGAATTATGAGACTACTTTAAACAGGCTGATCTTAAACTTGAAACTCTACTTATAAGCCCCACAGAAGAAGTTAGATTGTAAAACAAGAATTTCTTATGAAATGAAAACAATATAATTGCAGATGGTGAGGAAGATTAAAGTGAGAGAAGTCAAGGTTTAGTGAGCAAGTATTATACAGTAAGTTGGTTTTTGCCTTCTTTTGAAAATAAACTATCTGTATTGATTTTCTTAAGGTACTGTGTTGAATAATAATTTTCATATATACTCATAAAATAATTTTAAATTATATATATATATTTTTTTTTAAAATGAATTCTATTATTCTCATTTTCACATTGGTCTCTGGCTACTTTGATGGAGACATCGTCGTACCCTGGTGGGAAGCACCCGCTTTTTTTCTAAAGCTGAGGCTGCTGCTTGAACATCTGCACAGTTAAGTGTAATAAATGACCTCATATGTTATATATGCCAGAAGAACAAAAAAGAAAAAGAAAATCTATGTGTATTTTGGGAAGTACTAGTTATGAAATCTAGGGCCCTCATATGAGATATATGCCTAATGCTTTCTTAATTTTTATTTTGTCAGAGACTAGCTAAGTTGTCCAGATTGCATGTAAATGTTTGACCCTCCTGCATAAGGCTTGAATACTGCTAAGATTACAGGTGTGTACCACTGAAGCTGGCTAATGTCTGCTTACCTTTATAGGTAAAGAAACCCAAATGAATTCTAAACAATATGGTTACTGAGCAAATATCAATTCTTTCTTAACAAGAGTTACAGTTGTTTGAAAAAGAATTCTATGTTTGTGGATGGTTATTATATGTAAAGGTATTAGGTATGAGACCATGAGTTATTTGTTTATAAATTTTAAAAACTCCTAGCTTTATCATATCTTCATAGTGGACTACTAAAAATGACCCAAACATATTTCTGCCAAACCAGTGGTTTGTGATTTACGTGCGACATTCCTAGAGGAAATCTGGTGAGTTGTGAACAACTGCTACCATTCTACCTTTTTAAATACATAAACTCAGAAATTACACATTCTACCTAAAAAAGGGATGAGGTAAAGAGGAAGGAGAGCATCACAAACAAGCCAGGAGTTTTACTGCCTGCAAAACACAAATAAAGCAAAAAATATAACTAAACAGCAGCTCTGGAAACATTATTAGCAACATTCCAGGGAGGAAAGGGAAAAAAAGGGTCTCTTGCCCCAGCCTAAGACTCAGAAGCAGATGTCAAAAATTGAAACACTTGGCAAGCACTGTCTAGTGCTGTTCCTAACATCTGCCACCACCGAAGGGAGGTGACAGAGGCCAGGGCACCTGTGACACTGCTATTCTAGGAATTTCTGGAGATCACGATGTTGATTTCATGAACATGTGGTGAAGCATGCCCCTGCTTTACAGGCACCACAAGGAAGCCAGCCATTCAGTATCAATAGGTAACCATGCGTCCTGGCTCATGTCTTTGAGGGTCCCTCACTGTGACAGAGAATGACCCAAGGCTAAGCTCTGAAATTGCCTTAGCTGTATATGCTCGGTATACAGACGACATTCAAAAGATACCCCAAGACTCCTCCTCCATTCATCCACATCTCCAACCAAAACAAACAACTGAATCACCCACTGTAGTAAGACTCATTGCAAAATGAATGGGCATTCTAATTTACTTAGTCATTACTGCCTTACCTCAAATCAGCTCATCAAAATACTCAACACAGGGAAGAGTTTCAGAGGGAAACCAAGTACTTAGAAATAGCTGAGTGAGTCAGGCCTAGACAATGGGTTGCTGCCCAGAAAGGCAAAACTGATTCCAAGGAGCAGAGCATACAGGATCCCAAAATGGAAACAACAGGAAGGGCCACTTGCTAATAGGCCAACTGGGCTGAGCCTTTGCTACCCAAGAAACCAACAACATCCAAGGGACCTGTGTAGAGAGCAGGCTAACTACATGCCTTCCCAAAATGAACCACTACAGGACACATTCTGTGCACACATCATGTGACCCCAGAATCACTCCTATAATGGTGTTTTGCTAATTTGAGTATCCACTGACCAAGTGGTCAGGGAAGAATCATCCAACTCATATAACAGTGATGATTTCTGAAAGAAGGGTCAAGGTGATTATAATAAACATAAGGAAAAAGATACCTGTTGACATGAGACAGACCAAGGAACTGTGGAGTTTCCAGGATTTTTCTCCCCTTCCCCACACAGTGAGATTCCCTGGACCAAGCACATGCTCTGCAATCTGTGCCTCAAGGTCTTGTGTTACCCCAGGTAGACAAGGAGCAGACTCACTCATTGAGTAAAGGCATAGACGTTCTCCTCTTGCTCTTCTGTACCATGTTGGCCTGATTCCTTAATGAGATCCGAATCATAGCTGGCGCCAACCTACAAGGTTCCCCATCCACTTGCATGGGAATTGACTTGTAAGTCAGAAGCATGACCTCCCGACACTGGTGTAGCCTTTCTCCATGGCCCCCAACTTGCAGGGCAGCCTGTTAAAACAAAAGTTCGTTACTGCTAATTAAGAATGCTACATAGCCAAAGGGCCTTTTGTAAATACAGTCAAATTTATTGGCATCAGAAAAAAAAAAAAACTGGGTAAACTATTACTACAAATGAACTAATTCAACACTTTTGATAAGCTTTATTGTGAATTCCCACAGACAGATATTTATTGTTTTAAGCACTGTAAATCTAAATGATTGTACTAATTTAGCACAAAAATTTTCTTTTGGTTATCTAGTTCCAGTAAATAATCAGAGTATCACAAAAGACTACAGAGGATAATACATGGTTCACCAATTTCTAAACTTATCTGATTCTTTAGCAAGCAGCTTGATGCATTTCCAAGCTTAAGAGCCCTTATCATTTTCACCTAAAATTTCATCCAGCTATTTCTAACCTGTACAAAGTAAAGAAAATAAAAACTTAACATTGATTACTCAATTTAAACCATTCTAAATATCTTACAGGATTAAAATTAAAATTGTAGAAGTTCACTTCACTATAGGAATCACAGAATGGAGATTCAAATCGATATTAAAAAACTCATTTCTTAGAACAACAAATTTATATCTTCTCTGACTTTGGAAAATAGTTCATGAAATGTCATTTATGTTTTTATGCATAAATGAAAGCCATATAATTTTAATACATAATACATATACAGGACACACATCTGATGACTCAGCTTGGTGGCTATTTTTGTCCATATGTGTGAACCTTTGCACTGATCAAACTTTTTTTTAACAACCAAGAGATTTTCCCTGCCCCTTTGCAACTTGTTACAGTCCTTCCAACAACTAAAATTTAACCACTTCTGACTTCCATCACCATATACTAATTTTACCTGAATTTGAACTTCCTATATACCTACATAAGTACTCTTGCATCAGACATCTTTTGCTCATCTTTATGTTTTACTGATATATAGCAACTTACATCTATGGTTTCTTCATCGATAGGTGAATAAATTATTTCTGGTTTGGGGTATTCATCATATAAATTTTCTTGTACACATATTTTGGTAGATACATGCAATCTTGGGTGCAGACAAATAAGTAGCACTTCTATGACATTAGTTTATGGGTATATTTCAATCCAGAAGACACTGCAGTATCATTTATTGAACAATTTGTAATGAAGAATATTTTCATTACAATAAAAATAATGAAGCAAATTTTGAAGTGTAGCTAAATACTAACTAGCACAAAATCTAAATGATTTACTTTTATAAAAGGAAAACATATTATCAGCTTTTTGCCACGTTTATTCTTTATGAAGAGATGAGGAAAATTTGTGAAGTCAGTTTCCAACATTTTGGCAGCCAGATCTTTGATTTTAACTGATGTTTCAAATTATTTTTTCATTCTTTTGCAAGATAGAAAAATGACTTTAAATGTAAACAGAAAGAGACAACAAAGCAAAAAAGACATAAAACAATTGGAACATAAAGAGTGCATTGTTGAGCCCTTTTGATGTTTTGCATACTTTTTTGTTTCAGTTAGTGGGATACCAAGAAAGGAGACAGAATGCAATGAACAGTTTCTAAAATTCTTTTTGACCTGGCACCTTGTTCTCTACTATTCAGTGAGTGGCACTGAATTATTCCTTTAAGTTACTCTATGGATGTGAATCAGTACAATCACTAAAATTTTTCCAACATAACTCTTGTTATCAATTACTGTCAAGATCAGTATTACAAGGGAACAAATCAGATGCTTCATCCCTTAGTGGAAACTCTATTTTTCCCTGTCTCAAACAGGACTAATGACAGATAAAAATGTAACACTTGCCAGTTAAGAACTTACTTCCTTGAGTGTAACAGAATTGGCACTTCTGAAATGCTTCTCAGCTCCTTAGTATCAGGAGTATGCATGTTCACTAGAATATATACAATTCATCTTCTCACTCTCAACAGTAAAACAATAGCATATGCAGGTTCAGTATCTCTTATCCAAAAATTTTAGGCCAAGAAAGGTTTCAGATATTTTAAAAAATCAGTATTTTAGTATATTCACAAATATGTAATGAGATATCTTGGGAATATGACTTCATGGAACAATGGAATTAATTTGTGTTTTATAAAAATACAAATGGAGCTGGGGCATAATCACTTGCCTGGAAAGCATGAAGTTGTGAGTTTGACCCCTGGTACCAAAAAGAAAAAAAAAATGGAATGTTATGGAATTGATTTGTATTTTATAGAGCATGTATCTTGTAAACATAGCCTGCAGCTCATTTTAGATGAAATTTTTAATGTATCTGTGCTTTGATTGTGACCCATCACGAGCTCAAGTCTAAAATTTTGGTGTTCAAATGTTTTTGATTTGGAAACATTTCAAACTTAATACTTTCAAATTAGGGATATTCACATATTCCACAAACAGATGGAGCCTAATAACTGCCAGTGGATTATTTTTTATTCTTTAAATGATCTAAGCACAGCATCCTCAAAGGTACAAATCCTAAAAGCCACATCACAGATTTACCAGTCATACTACTTTGATTGTTCAATAATCTATTTAACTTTGCATGTGTTACTCTTGCAGAAACTTCAGATACTGCCTTTCAAATAATATGACTTCAAAGGAATACTGTGACAGTCCCTCAAATAAGTGCACCTCTTGTCACTTTTGGAACTGGCTCGGTAATAACTTTGTTATGCTTTCAGTATCTGTTTTTCTAATTATATACTCCTCCTTGGAATATTTTTCTCTATCCCCTCAAACTTTATACTTCTCATTCCACTTGCTATTATTACACTGTCTACTTTCCTTCTCATTCCACTTACTATCACATGGCAAGGATGGCAAAGAAACAAAACAAAGTGTCAAATCCTCTCCTTCTTCCTCCTTCAAACTCTCATGTTCAACATCATTCCTGGACCACAATACCCAAGGCTTGGGCCTGTGATATGGAGAGTAGAGACAGGAGCTCAATAATACTAAGACTTAGATGCGTTTTGAAGACTAACAGAATAAAGTTCTTATAAGATTAAATAACAACAAAATATAATTGTATTATATTAGATAAAAGAGATGTAATGTAAATTATATTAGCTATAATTTTATTACAGCTAAGGACACACTTGTGATTATTTTTATTATAACTAAAGATATTACAAGGAGTTATGAAAATCATAAAAGAATACTATAAAGATAATAAATTGGAAAACCTTGATAAAAAAATTTCTAAAAAAATTATAACCTTCCAACATTTGTTATAATATAAAAATTGAATAAATTAAAATGTAAAAATTAAAAGACTTATTAAATTTATTCTCATTTCACAATCCTCACACTCACAGAAATGCCAAAGAAGATGTCTAATTAGCATCAGGGTCTTTTTTTTTTCAATTTAATGTTCTACTTACTCAGCTAATAAAACCATATTAAAGCAGAAAATAAAATTTTAGTCTAAACTCCATTTATAATCCTAAATGCAAAATTTCTTTTATCAAAACTAATTTCAGCTAGTGATCTATTTCATAGAAACTAAATTATTAGCCATTATGGCTAAGGATTAGGTATAGTTTAACACCAGAAAATACATCATTGTAATTGTACCATACTAAGTGCCTCTCCAGCACTCTGTCCAGCAACAAGAAAGTTGGCTGATATTGCATTTATAATATTAGCAGTCTTGTACTCTGAGTAACTACTTTGAAGATAGTGACACATAGGTATACTAACGTCTGTATCCCAAGAGATACAGAAAAATTAAGGTTCGTGCCTTTGAAGATATAAAGTTTCTTGGAAAGTAAGGAATACAAAGTAATTTCTTAAACTGAAAAGAATCATCTACCAACACAGCTGATAAAAACATTAATCATTTTAAAGGAAATTTGGAAGCATAACTTTCGAGGTACAAAGTTATTCATTAGCAACACAAATTATCAACACAATATTATCTAAAAAATTAAATCAAGGAAATGAAATTAGAGTTTAAAAAAAAACTAAAAAGAAAAACATTGCGAACTTGCTAATATAATCCTATATCTAGAAATTCCAGAAATCTCACTAGCAAAGTGTTAAAACTCATAAGAAACATGCAAGTAGTTTATTCAGTTAAAAAAAAAAAAATCAACAGAGGGCTGGGGATTTAGCTCAGTGGCGTAAGCGCCTGCCTTGCAAGCAGGCAGTCGTGAGTTTGATCCCCGGTACCAATAAAAATGAAAAAGACCAAAAAAAAAAAAAAAAAAAATCAACAGTGTTATTCCATTCCAGGAATATCTAAATAAGAAAGGAATGTAAGATGACATTTGTGAAAGTTGAGCTTAACTGTCAACTTGCTTGGCTTTGGCTCCACCTCAGAGATTAGTAAAGCATATTTTTGGACATGGCTGTGTGGGTCCTGGAGGCTGAGCTCTGCCCTGGTCTCTACCCCTCCCTCTTTGATGCTGTTTCCCTGCTCTGATTCCAGGATACTGTGAATCAAGGAGCTTTGCTCTGCCACGCCCTTCCACCATGATATTTATACTCTGAAGTGACCAAACTATGGATTGAATCCCCTAAAACCCTGAGCCAAGTAAACCTCTTCTGTGAACGGTGCCTCTCAGGTACTTTGGCCAGCAACAAGAAAGTTGATTGATATGCCATTTATAATATTAGCAGTCTTATACTCTCAGTAACTACTTTGAAGATACTGATACATGGGTATATTAACTATTATTATTTTCTTAATATTTTGTTATGAAATTATTTTATTTTTTCATAAAATAAAAATATATATGAGGCTTTTATGCAGAAAACTTTAAAACTTTATTGAAGGGCATAAGAGAAGTCTTAATTGAAAATGCATATCATATTCATATGTAGAATAATTCAATATTCCATTGGTTTTGGTTTTCCCAAATCAATATTTAAATTAATGCAATTTAAACCAAACATGAGAAATATCCTGTTTAAGGTAATTTTGTGATATTTAATTTTAGATGTCAACCTGGCTACACCACAGCAACCTGATATGTGGTCAAACATTATTCTAAATG